TTACTCAAATAAACATATATCAATATTAAAGTCTTAACATTCATCTATAAAACCTGACCTTTATATCCTATGTATACTGCATTAATGCATTTATATAGGTTATCCTCCATATTAATAGGCTATTAATAATAGCCTTCTGAGTTCTGACTGTCCTTCAACCGCAGAATTACAAATATGCAAATTTGTTGTGTAAATCAAAATTCATAGCTAAATCTAAATCAAGATACGCGTATTCAAGTTACAATTTTACATATGCATGGCGCGCATCTTGTTCGCTTATAAATATTGTTATGCTGTCTAAAACGAAATAAAATTTACATATCACATTAAATTTACCTTATTGCACTTCAGAATAAAGATCTCGGCGCCAATACTTCTACTCAAACAGTCAAACTGTAGTTCGTGCTATTCGTGGCGCTTACGCCGCTTAGCAACTGCTCACTGAATGGAACTCTCCGATATTTAGCGTTGATTTTCCTCCCAAGATCAGCGCAACAGTCTTGTATTAAAGACAGCTAAATCATTCACCGCAAATGCGGATTGAACCGTTTCGTGAATACTACAAGGACTGGAGTCTGGAGCAGCAGACATTTCCGAATTTTCCGTAGATATCTTTAAATTGAATCTTTCGACAAAGCTACAACATGACACTTCGAATGAGCGCGCGCTCGGAAAGACTTTACCACGCGTCAAATATTAATGATATTCCGACTAATGGAGCGCCCCTGACTTTTGTAAATCGGTCAGAACTCCCCACAGATCAGTCAAAATCGAAAAAAATCGCTTGTTACCATGGCAATAAGCGTCTAGACCAATCAAAACACTGGATTTTGACTTTTTGACTGACCGACTTTGCGTATGTCAGCTGTTCATTGACTTGACTAAGCTCGTCGGCTCAACCACTGTATGAAATTTGATCACTGGACTACAGTTCGATTGGAATGTTAATTGCTAGCGCTGCATGATAATAGATACTGGACTATTATAAGGTGTCGCTGCATGATAAAAAATAACTGGACTATTGGTCGAATATTTAAGACTTTACTATTAAGTTTGCAATTTTTACGTTAGTCGCGTGACTGGTTTGACGACCCCTAAATCCGCCCCTGATTTGAGCTTCGTGACTCTGGTATAGACGTATGGGCCTAATGATTTAATTGTGTTACATTCCACTGAAAATCACCAAAATGAGCTTTTTTAAAAGTCTCGCGTGAGGCTCCAAGGCAATAACCCAAGCTAGTTTTTAGATATAACATGTACTCATGCTATACCATTCCGTGGATGAAATATAAACAAATTCACGATTATCGCACATAGTAAATTTTCCCTTCAAATCCAGTGACAAAATGCAATTGTAAAATTTGACTAAAAATAGCCAATTTCAACAACGTCTGTCAGGCCAGTTAAAGCCTCCTGGGCCATTCTATATTGATAAAATTGTTCTTTAATACTTGAATTATAGTCATTAAACCATCAAAACTATCTATGGGCAGTTTTGAATCTGTCGCGAAGTGATGAAATTGACCATGGCAACGGCTTTGTCCGCGCCTAATTATAGCCTTCCGGAGACAAATTCTTGATTTCTAATATTTGTACGTTTATCGACCAAATATTGAATATCTAACCCAAACACCATTTATAACTAGGTATTACCTAAATTTGAGCAAAATATGAAAGAAATCTATTTTTCATCTATATTGCCACTGTTTGCTCGATTTTTACGGACAGTCGCTCTTAAAGCAGCTTCTTAAACAGTTTCTTTATGCCGCATAAAATTTACTTATGTCAAGCTTTTATCAGTTTTATGCATGCACTTGTGTGTTCAGCAGAGCGCTGAGGCATTCAAATTCTAACAATACGCTATTTCAATATAGTTTTGGTTTTTTTGGAACACCTAGCTGCAGAATGTTTCCTATATGTATGAATAAAACATTTATTAAATTAAACATTATATTGGATTCCAATGTGGAACCAAAAACGGTTGTTGCGGAGTTTAGAAAGGTATAAGCGTCCACACGTTTCCGCATTTCTGTTGTTGTGTTTTGGTCATCCACACATTCCCACAAAAACGATACAAATAAGCTGATTAATTAATTACAAAGGCGTCCGCCTAATTAATTACAAAGGCGGACAATTCTATGTTGCAATAATTGTGGTGTAATTTACTTAGGTGTGACCGCGGTGAGAATCAATCGAATCTATGATATTTGGTCTGCTAGTCCAGTGCATGTCCCGCTGAGCTGCGAGATAACGTCTGTGCGAGTAGCCGAGTAGATGATATTTCGGAACTCAGTCTAGTTCCTTCGATATCAATATATAGTATATTATGTCTTTTGGACATAAATTCTAATAATTGTGGTGTTGGTAACCTGGTGAAGTTATTTGAGATTATGTTACTCATGATACTGCCCTGTGTAGAATATACTGATAATTTATACATAGGCCTAGGAGATAATGAAGTCTGTTTTCTTAATTAATGAACCCTCCCCCCTGAGGATACTCTGTATGACTGTTTTGAATAAAGGCATGCAGTTCATGCGCTGTCCGTTCAGGTGACGTTGCATTTGAATCATATCATGTAGCTGAATCTGGGAGCATATACGCAATGTGATCACGAAGATCAAAATTTAAGCTATGATTTCATTGTACCGGATCGGTTTTGCGTTACGGCCCAAGTGCAAGTAGCTTCTGCTCCCACCCTTCTAATATACAGGGTGTATAAAAAAAAAACGCAACCTCGGAATTTCCTAAGAAATCAATTTGCAATTATTAAGCATAAAAGATTTTAGGCCCCTGGGAATTGAAATCGAATTGCTAATAGATCATATTGCTGTTGTTGTGCATTAAATAAATGCATAAATTTTGCTTTATGCACTCGCGTGTGCAGTAATTTTGACAGTTGTGCTATTTTAAATACCCAGGCGCCTGAAATCATTTGTCTTTAAAACAATGTCGATTTCTTGGGAAATTCCGAGGTTGCGTTTTTTTTTATACACCCTGTATATGCCTTCGTCTTTTTTTTGTATATATTTACCAAAAACAAAAATATTGCAGACGTCATTTGACAGTCTGACAGAGTGAGCAAGCTATACCCGTAAATAAGGTTAGAAAACTAGCAAATTTTTGTTTGCTAGACGCATTACAAAAATGACAGCGTTACAAAAATCAATCCGGCACAACACGCACCACTTGGAAGACCGGAGCGGCGGCGCATGGCTGTAGAAATTGATACGATTACATCATTTCATATGAAAACAAGCCCTATCAATGTAAACAATACTAAACATAGCCATATATTCAACTGCTCAATCATATATATGTGAGCGAAATTCCTAGTATCGCCCAAAATCCTAGGAAAATCTCCCCCTTTAGGAAATTCGCCCACCTTTAGAAAATATACCTTTCCTTTAGGCTTTTCGTCCTCCGTTAAAAATTTCGCCCTTCCTAACAGTTGCGTGGAATAATTATTACATGGCTTTAGTAATTTGAAATCAGTATCAATTCAAAATTGGTAAGAATACAAATTTACAATTACATGTATGGAAAGGGCTTATATACAGTACAGTAGATCAATAGGACTTATGACGCTTCACAGCACAGCATGCATGCATGCATGCATATTTTGCATTTTCAGTGTTAATCCTTAAACTAATTGTTAAAAAGTAATCACCCTGGTGCTTATTGTAATTATTGGTATGTCACAACTTTTTTTTAACTGACACATGCATAAACTATATGTTTTTTTTATAATCAAACCGTTTAATTTCATTATAAAGAGCACTAAAAATCTATTTGTCTCTACCTATGCAGTATTCACGAAATTATTCATTGGCATTGATTGAAAATAATTGAATTGGTTAAGTAAATTTTATATACAGCTATTTAAATTTAAGGTTGTCCCCCGAGCAAAGCGGAAAAGTCGAATACGAGCGCGAAAGGCTGCTGGGAATCGCTAATAAATGAATGAATTTATTAGCGATTCCCAGCAGCCTTTCGCGCTCGTGTTCGACTTTTCCGCTTTGCTCAGGGGACAACCTTAACTATACAGTACCACCACATCAGCTAAGGCTAAGCTATAAACTTACTATCGTACTTGTTTATAGAAGAAAAACGTTTAGTTTCATTGTTATTATTAACAGTAGTCAGTAACACATTTCCCAAATTTGAACATGGTGTCGCATTTTATGCGATCTCTGTGGGTAACTGTTAAATATGAAACATATGACACTAGTCTAAGTACCTTAAATGAGTGGTTCTGCCGACTGTGCAAACCACCAGCTGCTAAGAAGCCTAAAATGTCTATGTAATTTTGTTTCCTTATTGTAATAAATAAATAAATAAATAAATAAATAAATAAATAAATCACATTTTTCAATGCTCTTTTCAACTTGCAATCGTTTTGTTCAATAAGATAAAAAAATCGAAATTTATAGGCGGTGGAGGACCGAATTTCCTAAAGGGGGGCGATATTCTTAGGGATATATTCGCCCCTCTGGGGGGCGATACTCCTAGGATATTCGCCTCCCGGGGACGATATTCCTAATAATATCGCCACCCTTTTGAGAGGGAGCGAGTCTCCTGGGGGTGGGGGCGAAATTCCTGTGACACCGGAACGTAAAAGGAAATATGAGGAGACGAAACGAAATAGGAATTCTGCAAAAAAATTGTCCCGTTTAAATTAAATTTATGATCTAGCGCGGATGATTCTTCACTGGAATTCTTTAATATACATGCATCCAAAATACTGGGAACGTAAGAAAGCTGGTACATGTATAGATTTCTCAAAAATGTTGAGGCTTTTAATTTATTAGTAAAATCTTGCTTCCCCACTCTGGCAAACACATGCATGCAGGCTCCACTGGTGTAAATTCATCAGTAGTCAAATAGTTGTACGCAATCATAGTGACATGGCCGGTGATATTGTGGCTATACCAATTGCATGCATGCTAACATACTTAATTACCACTGTTCCTTTAAGGATAACTGGTTCAAAGGCAATTATGTCACCAAGGACATTTTGGATAATCCTCGTGATTATTCCCGTATTAACAGCAAGTTATGCAAAAAACACCTCCAACGAGGACCCATGTGTGGTACGCCATTTTGAAACGGGTAAGCATATACAGTAATTATGCATAATAATTATAGACTGTTTGCAGCATTATTAGAAGTTACCATTACAAACACTGCTGACTCATGAGAAACAATTATGGGTTTTAAATCATATTTAAAGCACCAAATTTGGTACAGACTCTGAGACATGACCACATGGCAAACAATATTTGATATGGACCCCATTGAAATTTTTATCTTATACGTAAACCGGTCCTATATAAGTTAATTATATGTTCTGAAAACGTGAAATATACACAGTTAATTATAAAGTTCGCATAGAGTAATTATATAAGACGCTTAATTATAAAGCGAGTAGTGCTATTTTCTAATCTACCGTAAACCTCCGACTACAAGACCCCCCAGAATATAAGTCCCCCGTGTATAAGCCCACCACATGTAATCGCTGCTTATAACACACGTTTATTTCCCTGTTTATGATTGACTTGTTTATGTCTGACTTGTTTATTACTAACACAAAAGATCGTCCATGTATAAGCCCACCCGTTACGTATATAAGCCCCCCCCCCTGTATAAGCCCATCAAAAATCGCTTACGAAAGTATATAAGCCTAGGGCTTATAGTCGGAGGTTTACGGTATTTAAAGTTATTTTTAAGCGCCCAACTCGTGTGAATAAAAGAGAGTTCGTGCATGCACTCCAGATCTAATTGCCATCTTTCTATATAATGGTAGCTATATAAAATTATGGATGATTTGTAAAATTAAAACTGAACTTGAATATTTCACTTTTTAAAATGATAGTTCCCCAATAGAAAATACCATATAGGATATATAATGGCAACAAAAGCTATATTTGCCCGCTAATTTGAAATATATTGTTGATCGAGATTGTTCACAAATTCGTTTTACAAATATTCCCAAACTATCTAATTATAATTTCCGAAATATTTGGAACCAAAGCATCTTTCCATCCGCCATCTTGTTCTAAATTAGATCTAATTAAATGATGTTTAAAAACTAAAAAGCTGCGTTTAAAAACTGTTTTCCCAGCTAACTCGTTTATAGCGGCTGAAATGCCGCGGAGGTGAATTTCGCATGCATTTTCCCCAGTTGTTTCGCAATCAACATCATCTCCAAACTCAAAATTTGAATTCGAACAAGACGCGCTTTTGCATTTTCTTGGATGGCTGTAAATTTTCGACTTTGTTTTCAAAGTCATCGTCATAGACAGAACATGATTTTCCACCTGTCAAATTGACTTTCTCGCCAATCAAAATGTCAAAAGACTCCAAACTTTATCATAGTAAGCGCGTTGAGTTTTTTATACATTAAAGCTTGCCGCGGTTTTTTGGTTAAAGTGTATACACGTTACACTATTATTTCTTTCAAACAAGTCATATAATATTAAAGTTATAACGTATCAAATTTGCCATCTTTTATCCTATACAGGATGCCCCAGCCGCGCAGAATGCAAATGTGATGAAATAAGGGCTTTTACAATTCGCAGTCGAGAATATCAGGGAAGCATAACACGACTTGAAGGTAACTATATAGCTTAATCATGTTTTTATTGCAAATATAAATGGAATTTGTTGCATTCGGAGTAAGGAAAGTCGGAATAGTGTAAAATATTTGGGTGATTTACTGTACATACCAGGTGTTACTAACGCAAGGAAAGTGCCGCCTCACCCCCAAGGGATCAAAGGCAGCATGCACAATTTGCTAAATAAGGGGCTGTTTATATGATCCCGCTTTGTCAGGACGAGATGTGAGGCGGGATATTTTTGATGTATTGAAATAAGTTACGGTGCGTGATTCAGCAAAAACTACATTATTTTCTAGTAGAGATTGATTATATATAGTTAATTATAATGTAAGTGTGATATAAAGACGATTTGATTGGCTAATGCGCGTGTTGCATTGTGACGCAATAATGTACTGTGATCTGTGACACCTCGCCTTGCTCTTTGGCCTCTTTCTCTGTCCCCCCGCTTCATTGCTGCTTTTTAGCAAAAAGTATAAACAAAATTATAGATCTTTTAAAATACAAATTTATCAGAAAGCAAGAAGCAATAAACCAAAGGAACAAAGCAATTTTTCTATAGTTCTACGTGTAAAATTAACCGGCTTGGCTTCGTCGAATTCGTTAATTGTTGTCTCAATAGGTTAATTATGGGAAAAAGCGTGCAAAATAACTGAGAAAAAGTTAAGGCGTATACCAAAAACATAGAAAAAGGCACAAAAACTGAACCTAAATGATGTAGAAAGTACCTTCCATTCTTCTGATAAGGTGTATTTTCGGCGAAAGACAAAAAATGGAATAATTAAATTCCGAAAATTAAAACTGAGCAAATGAAAAACTCAGATGCTGAAAAACTTTGACAAATTAGTCTGTGATACCCCGTTTTTATTTCCAGCATTTAACAGCAATTCTTGAGGCTTTGTAGCTTCAAAAGTTTGCTCCTTCGCTCGCTTAAAAATTCAAGCAATAACACTTCCAGAAACAACGCCTCTAAACGGCGCTAAATTCCCTGTCAGTTACTCAGGGGGGTCTAGATTTCAAATTTTTGGGGGAAGTCACTAAATTTGCAACCCCAAAATAAATTTTCTCCCTACACCCATGTTCCTCTATATATAATTTCCAGTCTTCCATACAGTTTGAAGGCATGCATGTTGCTATAAAATTATTTTGGTTCTAGTTTTAAAAAGTGTCTTTTTCGTATATATCTTCGAAAAGACTAAAATTCCAGAAATAATATTAATACGGCCAAAGCTTCTCGGGCTAATTCTGTTTAAGATAACTATCTATATGATTTATCATTCTTGATTTAACAGCCACATCTCCATGCGAGCACCGTATACGTAGAGAATTCATGAGTTTGGCCAAAGAGGAAAGACTTCAATACATCTATGCAGTAAAAGCTGTGAGAACTGACCCACGTACCAGCAGAAAGTTTTATGAGTTGGCAGCCTTTCACCAGCATCATTTCTGTGTAGAAATTCATTGTAAAGTAATCTTCCTACCTTGGCACCGTTGGTATATTCTGCAATATGAAAATCTACTTAGAGAAATTGTTCCGAATATTACATTGGTGTACTGGGATTGGAGCGCGGTGATGGTAAATCCGTTTGATATTAATCTTTGGGATGACAATGATTGGTCATTTGGTGGAAACGGGAATGGTGTTAATAATACAGTAATTACTGGTCCATTTAAAGAACCTGAATGGAAAATGGTTCCTGGTGATGGCCCATTTGGTGACTTACAATTGAGAAGAGTGTTCAGTTACACGTACCCCGAACCTGCAATACCAAGCGCTTTACATCTTGCAATCCTGTTAAAATTGAAAGCGGACGAGTTTCTGGAAATGCTGGACGTTTTAATAGGTTATCACAATAACATACACAGCAAAGCGTTTGGGGCGACAAGTACAATGAGTTACGCATATTCAATTTGGACTCCGGAGTTCTTTCTGCATCATACTTTTATCGATAAATATTGGTCTGAATGGCAAGAACAGGGCTATGAACATAAATATACCGCATACTATATGAATCAAACTCGGTATATGCTAGCGACACACTACCTGCCTAAAGATTTCATGGATATGAAATACCAAGAAGGAAACGTATGTGTATCATATGAAGATTCTACAGAAGAATGGATACACAAAAAACTCAGAAGTAAGTATATACAATTGTTCGGAAGTATAGCCTGCTAGCAGGCATATATTTGGGTTCAAGTTTTGGCTGGAAAAATAAACGCCTGCCCGCATGGCTTGTCATTTGATAAAACGCACAACTTTTGCATAAAACTATCCCATGCAACCTGCTTCACAATTTGAGTTGTACTATGCAAATCAAGTACACAACTCGCCTGCGTTGTGTTAGGTGAGTTATGTGCTTGATTTACACAGTACAGCTCAAGCTGTGAGGCATCCACGTCCCCAGGGCCTCTCGGCCGCGCGCGTCCTCCCTCATAGCTCCTCATTTTCAACGAGTGACCGAAAATGTCCGAGTAAAAATGGCTCTGGGGACAGAATGGCTGTAAGCAGGATGCACGCGACAATTTTAGGCAATAGTTGTAATTGTAATGGCCTTAAATATGTTTTGTATACAATAATTTACCGAATATTAAGCGTGCATGCCGTAACGGCGTCACTTCTTTTGGACAATTACTTATTGTTTAATAGCAAACTGTGATAAGTAATGACTAATATAAACAAAATCATAATCTTTTTCCCGAAATTAAGTAACACCCGTTGATTTATATTTTTCTGTTTTTTCGCGAAATGATAATTAATCGAAAAATATAGTCTATATCTTCAGTTCACCATTCTTTTAAAAACTGCATCAATCCACCATATAACTCGTGAAAAAAATCAGCCATTTGAGAGGGAATTGTGTGGTCAGGTATAAGATTAAATAGGAAATGTATATACACAACGCGCTCTTTTACTATTTTTAGGTTTAACTTTGGAGCAACTAACAAGTATCAGAGGACTGCAACTCATATCGTTTGTAAGAGATAAGAGTATAAAACAAATAATATCAGAAAGAGACACACCCTTTCTTAGGATGTATAGTAATTTTATCCAGAAAATTATGCTTCGTAATCCAATAACTTTAAAAGAGCTTGCTGGTGTTGATCGAATATATGGCTTTTTCCTTAACGACTTGTTAAAAATGTAAGTGCACATTATATTTTAGAAATAACGACTGTCATGTCAATATAATATAGCCTGTCATGTCACATGCAGACCGATATAGCCTAAAAGGCCGAGACACACCGCGGACGCAATTCGACAATGCGGCGGCGTGATTTTCGATTATCACTCACCGATAAGTATTTCACATATTTATAGAAGCGCTATGACATTTTTAGTTATTTGGTCTACATATATCTTAAAATTTCCTTTCATTAGCTGTTTTATTAACTTATTAACCGAAAAATCGCTCGCGCAACGTTGTAGAATCGCGTCTGGTGTGTTTCAGCCTTTACAATTAATTGGTATAAGGACTTTGAAATTTGGTGCGATTGCTAATTGTTCCTGTGTAAATTAAATACCCATGCAGTTTTTGAGGTGATTTTGGACATATTTTGGTATGTCACTCATTTTATAACTAAAATATTACATCGTTTAAACATTGTTCTAGTTATTATAGCAGTTTATATTTATTTTCCTAACATTCAAAATATATGTGATTTTAAATCTATGTAAGTTAGCTAAATCGTTAGACTTTCCAAAGTCATTTCCAGACCCTTGTGCATGGCAAGTCGTATGCGTGGCGAAAACTGAAATATTATGCTTTCATGGTCACAACAAATTTGGGCATGAAAATGTTAAAATTTACTCAAACACTAACAGTTTATATATATTATCAGATCGATTATCTGTTGTAAATATTTCCTATATGGTTATAATCCATGCCTTATTCATAAGCCATTTAAAAATACAACGCATTTTCACATATTAAACAAAACATTATATTATGAACGCTATGCATTAAAACATGTACTATATAAATATTACAAAAAGAAATTTCTGCATGGGCACCAGCGTTTTTTTTTTGCACAAAAATTATGGAAAACCTATATTTCTTTTCTGATCTTTTCTACCAAGTTGAGAAGTTATGATTTGCTATGTTATAAGATAGGGAATTTTTTTTAATTTAAAGGGATATGGCAATGAAAATTAACTTTGTCTTATTTGAAAGAACTTTTAAAGTTATATACGAAAACCCTTTACAACTTTTTCGCACCTTGTTTGGTTTTCGAAATAATATTTTGACCAAAAACATTGTGCAGTCTGCCATCTTGGTATTATAATTGAGCTAATTAACTGGGTTTTTGATGACGTCACAAACAGGGTAAACTTGTTAAAACTTCTTCATGTGGGACTAAATTTCGTCGAAAAGTTTTTCAAGCTAATTAAGTACTAATACGACATCCAAATATCGAGTTTCATAGTGATAATGACATGTGGTTTGCAAAATGACGTATGCATATCGAATGCATAGAGATTATAAATAACACTAGAGGAGGCATCGAGTTTAAAAATTGGGAACGCAGCTAATGGGGGGCAAATTCAAGTCCCGGATATAAAATCGTGCTCTCATTGGCTGATTTGAAACTCGTCACCAATGGGAACACGAATACACATCCGGGACTTGAATTTGCCCCCCAATAGTCGCGTTCCCTTTTTTTTACTGAATTAAGATTACAATGCCTCCTCTAGTGTTATTTATAATCTCTATGATCGAATGCATATCCTGCAAGATGGCGGATTAATGCACGCTGCCTTTGATCAAACTAAGTAGATTGATTTCGAAAACCAAGCAAGATATGGAATAATTGTAAAGGAATTTATATATCATCTTAAGTATTCTTTCAAATAAGACAAACTTAATTTATTATGCCATATCCCGTCGACAACCGCAAATTGGGCTATTTTTATCCAACCCGCTATTATTTAATAATCATATTGCGGACTCTCACTATGATTACGCGGACACCAATTAATATAACGTACGCTATATAAGGAGAGTTGACTACGTTCTCTCTAGTAGTAAACGATAGTACGCGACCATTCGCATGTATTCCACACTGGAATTTTTTTCAAAATCTAAGGAAATAGTATGGATCTTAATTCAGGTTGGAAATATTATGGAAATCCAATTTTCATACCAATTGCAATTTCCATACTATGGGTGTATCAAAAAACCTGAAAACCCTTTGAAATACAATGTTTTTAGAATTTGCATGATTCAGAGCTAATTGATCCCAAGCGTGCGTAAACACAATAGTAAACGCGCAGTCGAGCTGATAATTATAGTTTTCTGCATTAATTATAAGTAACAGCATAAAAAGAGGTGCCCAAGGGAATTTTACTAAACGACCCTCATCGGGCGGGACGTTTTCAATAGCTAATTCGCCTCTATTACCTTATAATATCATGATTAATTGCGGGTATTCCCTTTGTTCTCGCATATAAATTAAATGGTATAATTGTTTTCCATGTCTTTGTTCAGTTTTGGCGATTTCAGATATCTTCATTTATATTCATTTTTTCTGATCGTACCCGCTTTGACGTCGTATCGGGTAGGATTAGAACTAATCCTACCTGACATGATATAAAAGCGGGTATAGGATTAGAAAAAATGAATATGATGAGGTGTATTAGTTTTTAATTGCCCTGCAAGAACAAAGGGAATACCCGCAATCATGATATTAGTACAAATAACTTCTATCAACGCGGTTAATTAGAATGTATTTTCAAATCCCTGGAGCAAAATAAGTAGCACAGACATAGAAATGCTAGTAAGCAGCAGAATTATGCAAATTATAGTGTTTCCAGGTTTTTTGATACACCCTGTAGTATTAAAATAATGTGGATATACTCTGGATTTAGTGATTCAATCGCAAATTCACTATTTTGTTCCAGTGCATGTCAATTTCACAATTCCAGTTCGTACGCCTCTGTTTCGGTTTCTCAATTATTGTTTTTGCTTTCCTTTAGATCAGCGAAGAACGAAGCAAATTGACTTAGTTAATTAAAGCCGAATTTACAGTCGCTATAGCTGGGCGACTGAATTACAGTAAAGCCACATAGAAGATCAAGAAACATCAACGGACCAACCTGAAGCAGCACCATTGAACATTATTTCTTAGTTTCAAAATACTAGTCTATAACTAGTGATACTTGTAGACCATCTTCCGGGAAATCATGCAGGGTATTCAATCTATATATATATATATATATATATATATATATATATATATATATATATATATATATATATATATATATATATATATATATATAATTAGTTTGCATTTGAGACAGGGAAGAATATTAATTAAGTTCTCCTACTCTAATCATTCTTTCGGAGGGCTTCGTTCGCACCGCTTTCATCCCTGTTTCATCACCCCAACAGGTAAGTGTTTTGTAAAGAGGATAGGGGCCTGGGGGAATTGTCGTTAAACTAAACAGGGAATTTTCAGTTACCTCGAAAAGGAAAGCAGTGATAAGTATGTGGGTCTAACGTTTTCTGCGGTGGGAGCAATTGAAATTTTAGCCGAATTTTTATTATTTTTATTATTAAGGGACAGTTTACACGATTCTCTCGTATTTTTGCGATATGCCGATCGTGCATTATCACACCATGAACGCACGTGATTCGTTTTCTATTTCGTGACTTAATTTATATTTTATTGGGCTTAATTAAATGTTCTGAAGATGCTGTGATGTAATAACGAAACGTCAGCATTTTATTCTCTATTGTTAATGTCTTGTTTGGAAGTCATTTTATGTTGCTTTAATATTTGGAAACTATAGAATAAAGAAAGAATCTTCAGTTTCAACTACATTTCATTTTATCTTAATTAAAAGTATGACAAAATATATCGTGGAGAATAAGGGGCCAATTACATGGAGAACTTTCAACCCCGGGCTCAGCCCTGTTAACCGGGTTGAAATTTTTTGCGATTACATGGACGATTTCAACCCTGGGGTTGAAACGCTATACTATACGTTCTCGGCATCGATTCCCGGAAGTAAAAAAGCCTTTATTTTGTTTTCTTGTAATAAATAGTCACTACCACGGATGCTCGAATAAGTCATGATAATTTCAGCCCTGGGTTGAAACGATTACATGACAAAATTTTCAACCCAGGGCTGAGTTCAACCCCGGGTTTGAAAATGCTCCATGTAATCGGCCCCTAATGTTCCTATTCAAAAGTGATCAAAGTAATGGAGATCTTGCTTCATGCTATAAAGAAAACCAAAAAACATTAAATAAATATGATAGTTCGAAATCGAGTGAGTGCAGTAAAGCCGGATCAAACGAGGATATTAAGAGTGTATCTTATGCATGAGACTTGGCGAACTTGGTTAGCTGTTCTTAATGTTTTTCATCCAAGATTACAGGATGTATTAAAAACCCGAGACCTTTAGAAATTAATCTATTGTTGTTAATTAAAGCACAATATATTTTGCTCCTTCTAATTAAAAATTCAATTCAATTGCGTTTTCGCACTCTTGTGTTCAGCGTATAGTGTTAAACTGAATGTGAGGTATTTGACATCATTATCAACTTTAATATAACTCTCAGTTCACATATTCAAAATGTCTGTCACTTCTGTTTATTACTCAGCCGCTTCTCAATGACATCCTGTTTTGGTGGCTTAGGAGTTGGTGCAATACATTTTACTTGAATTTTTGGAATCTTCAAACTTTTCTTGTCCGATTTCTTATTTGTCTCATACTGACGTATTGTTTTGTTTTCGTTGCTCTTTGTTGGAAAAGCAAATCGGTTCAAAACAATCAGGTGTCAAATCGGCGCTGGAGACGTACATATTATACTATTTGGCATATTACGTCGACGTAAATTCGGCAGCCAATTAAACACTTCTGAGCGGCCTATATTTGGCACCCTATGATAACTTGTATCTGTTCCTTTGGTCTTTCGACTGCCATTTGTGCACAAAGGCACAGTACAATACGGTATTTTGTGTTAAATAAATTATTAATTCTGTAAATTTCAGGTTATACTATAGCGCGCCAGTATTATTTTAAACTGCCGCAGAACAAGAAGCACACAATGACGTCACAAATATAAGGGCACTGACCAAATTTGCGCCTGCACGTGAAAGAACACCACGGCGTCGAAATTACCAAAAATCGCGAACTTTCGAGCGATTTCTTCTTTATTAAAACGATTTGGACCGAGATACTTCAGGAACAATCCATTGAAAGTATAATCTCTTATTTAATTTAAACCCACTACTTGCTTTGGAAGCTGCGGCTGCTCAGAAAACTATATCATTGTTTAATTAAGAAATACGTCATTTATTTGAAATTCAACATGGCCGCCTTAACATGTCAAGTGTAATTTATAGCAGGATGGTTATATAGAACTTTATTTTCACCAGAAATTAACATCAATGATAAGACTTGTCATCACCAAAGTCTAAACGTATTGCTAAAATTTTTAATGTTTTGATAATATTTGCTATCATACTGATAATGTGGCAGGACTGATTTGACAATCACAGTGTTTGATCAGATATGGAAATTCGAGCTCCCTCTGTCCCATTTCTGGAAGCAACAATAGCTGCAAAAGACATACATGTGTGAAATGCGCCTCACTAGCAAACTTCGCACTGTCCAGCCCTATGGCAATAACGAACGATTTAATCTCTCTCTGTATTTAACTATATGTCTATATCAAAAAGCAGACATTGACAATAATTCTTACTTTATTCCATGCATACTGTACTTGTTTCATATATTTTTTCATATTGTAGTTTTCTGTATAGTTGTATTAATATATATTCTGTAAATGCATTAATAATTATATTCTTTTTTGTTTGTGCTTTGTTTTATTGGTTTAATTTTTGTCACGTGATCGCTTTTACATTCTTAGTATAAAAACACGTGTCATTTACCAGACTACCGCTACTAACTCCCGAAGATTGGAAGGTTATATATATATATATATATATATATATATATATATATATATATATATATATATATATATATATATATATATATATATAGTTTTTCGTTTTACCTCAAGAAACCACAACAGTCTGTTTCATCCGTATAGGAATCATATACGGATGAAACAGACTGTTGTGGTTTTTTGAGGAAACACGAAAAACTATATTACGCTCTATCTATATGGTATTGAGCACTGTTTGTGTTTCGTAAACCAAAATCTTAAGCTATATATATATATATATATATATATATATATATATATATATATATATATATATATATATATATATATCCTTATGTATTGTCGCTCAAATGTTGTGACGTCAGTCAGATCAGATCAGATTAAACGAGACAATGTGAAAAAGATTCAGACGACAAGAGGTAATAAGAATGACGTGCGGTATATATGTTTCTGCACACATTTTATCAATTGAAAATTGTGATTGACGCACCGGGAAGAAAGGGTAATAATTTAATTAAAAAAAGATAAATATTAAAGCTGCTATGCATAAATGTATTTACAATTTAAGGGACGGGTCATTAATTACGGCGAGGGGTGGCACAAAAGAGAATGGGTAAACAAGATTTTGAGTGAGTAAAAGGTTGAATAAACGAAAGAAAAAACAACTCAAGGGTTGGGTAATAAAAATGTATTGTCCAGCATTTCCAAAGCGTGATTACAAAAATATTGAAGGCTTTTTTAGCCTTTACGTAATGCCAATGTCAACAATTATATGTTAATACAATATGTAAATCAATCACAGTCACTATCATGCAGTTGATCATTTCCAGATTTGTCATGAAGTAAATGGTGTCTCCAACGAAATTACATTTGCAGACAACATTAAACTTTACACTGCATGCAGAAAATTGCACAAGCAGTTATCAAACTCATGTCACAGAAGTGGTAAAGGACACGTGTGATAACTGAATGGTATCCTTTTGACCAAGGTTGTGTATTTAATTTTTAATTAATATTATAGTTAACCCTTAGTTTACTAAAACACTCTTCAGGCTCTATTTTAAAAAAAATATCTAACCAATCACATTGAAACTTGGCACAAAGCTAGTGCCAATCATCTCACATATATCAAGCTTTTTCGAAGCACAGGATGGGCCTTGGTTGTCATGATAACAACAAATAAACCTAAATAACGGACTCACTACCAACAGTAATAACGTACAGGGAAGAATAGATATTAACACCAAACTTGGTAAGACTGTTGGTTACGTCAAAAGCAAATGTATAATATACAAAACTGACCATTCATTGCATAGATTATGACAAGTCTGATATTCAGCCCAAAAATCATCAGAATCCATCAAATCCCCTTTGACTTATCATAATCATTGTTACCACCCTCGTTTACAATAAATTTGTTAATTTGAAAAAATCAATGTTAAAGTGTTAATTAACAAACTTTTTCGCCATAACTTTGGCTTCTTCTTCAAAACTAGTCTAATAAATGATCCGAATCTGATGTTCATAGTATTATTAGTTTGAATATTGTCTTCTGACATATTTTACGATAGAAACATTGGACATTTATGCTAAAAAGGGAATGACCAAGCATCTAGACACAAGATTATCTTACTTGGAACACACTTATTTTTGCCGTTTTGCTTCTATCGTTCGCACAACAAATGAGTCAGTCATATCCTACTCCACATTACTTGGGGGTTTTCTTCCTTTTTTTTAACAGACTCATCAGGCTGAGAGCTCAGGCTAAATCCATCAGCTTGGTAAGCTGTCTTGTCACCTTTCGACTTTTTTGTGCACAAAGTTTCTGTCACGTTGCTTTTGGTACTGGTCGTTAATTTTTTGAAGCAGCTTTAATTCTGGACTGATCTTGCAACCTTAGTGCTTTCATGGTATTAGTTCCTGATGTTATGCCAAATATATCCATAACCATGGCTTTACTTGCCTGTATTGAAAAGGGCAATGGTCTCACAGACAGCTATTGTTACTTTTTGAGCTTCACAACATTTAGTCACTTGAGACATTTAGTAGACCAGAGCATTCCATTGATAACACCAGTTTTTGATGAATGTCCTCTTTTTGCCAAGTTCCATCAATTGTAACTGACACATTTGCGACGACAGTAGTTTCATCATCTTCAATGTCATCCGGTCTTTCCAAGGCGACCTTGTCAACCAGTCCCTTTGCCGCATACTTCATCAAATTTTCAGCATTTCTACCTCAGCAGTTTTTATTTGGATTTGATGGTCATTATAAGCCTTCTTTCAGGTTACAGGAGTGGCAAATTAATTGCATCACAAAATTGAGATAGCCCGGCATGACCCAATTGAGGAGCTGCTATAACTGCTCTGCGATTCACTTCCTGGGCTCCCTTTCTCTACCACCCTAACCTGAGATCAGGTTCTATTTTAAAAATATATATAGCCTGACACAAACCTTAATTCGATCGCTTTCCACCCACAGCGAAGTTTTTATTTAGTATCCAATCAAAATGTCGCAGGAGAAATTTAAATTTCACACAACGACAACAACAATCTAATTATAGTTGTGATCACTATAAAATATATCAACAACAAT